GGAAAAATGTCTCTTCAAATCTTCCTGTTTTTTAAGTCATATTGGGTTTTTCTGCTATTGAGCTGTGTAGATTCTTACTATATTTTCAATATTAATTTCTTGTGAGATATGATTTGCAAATATTTTTTCCATTTAGTAGTTGTCTTATTTTGTTGATGGTTTCCTTTTTTGTGCAAAATCTTTTTAGTTTATCCATTTATTTTTGCTTTTTTCTGCTTTTAGTGTCAGATTCAAACAATCATCTGCAAGACCAATATCAAGGAGCTTATCATCTGTTTTCTTTTAGGGGGTTTATGATATCAGTTCATACACTTGTCTGTAACCCATCTGAGTTAACTTTGGTGTGTAGCATAAGATAGGGGTCCAGTTTCATTCTTTCACATGTGGCCGTACAGTTTTCCTAACACCATTTACCAAAGAGACTGTCCCTTCCCCATCATATAGCCTTTACTCCTTTGTCATAATTGGCCATCTGTGTGTGGGTTTATTTCTTGACTCTCTATTCTGTTCCAGCAATTTACATCTGGGTTTTTTGCCAATATCATACTATTTTTACTACTATAGCTTTGCAATATAGATTGATATCAAGGAGCATGATGCCTCCAGCTTTGCTCTTCATTCTTAAGATTGCTTTGTCTATTTGGGATCTTTTGTGGTTCTCCACAAATTATAGGAATGTTTATTACTGTGAAAAATGCCATTGGAATTTTGATAAGAATTACATTGAATCTGTAGATTGATTTGTGTAGTATGGACATTTTAATGATATTTTCCAATCCATGAGCACACAATATCTTTCCATTTATTTGTGTCATCTTAATTTCTTTTATCAACATCTTACAGTTTTCAGTGTACAGATCTTTTGCTTCCTTGGTCAAATCCCTAGGTATTTTTCATGCAATTGTAAGTGGGATTGTTTAAAAATTTCCCTTTCTGATAGTTCTTTGTTAGTGTATAGAAATGCAACAAATATTTGTGTATTGATTTTGTATAGAAATGAAACAAACATTTCTGTATTGATTTTATATCCTGCAACTTTGCTGAATTTGTTCAGGAAAATTGTAGTGAGGTTTTTTGGGGTTTTGTTTTTTGTTTTTTTTTTCTAGTCTTTGAGGGTTTCTATATATAATATGGCATTGCAAACAGTGACAGTTTCCCTTTTCCTTTCCAATCTGGCAACTTTCACTTCTTGACTAATTGCTCTTGGGCTGGTGTTCTTGAAGCAACACTCAGGAGGTCTGTAGGGTTGCCCGCTGCACATTTTGGAATAGCACTGCTCACCACAACCACCCCCGCCCCCCACCCCCACCTGGCCTGATTAGCGTATGAGTTTGCAAGCCCTGGTTTAAAGTAAGAGCAGACTGAGCAATTAATGAACTCAATTTGAGAGCAGATTCAGTGTTTACCTAATTCAGAAGTGAACTGAGAAAGAATGTGAGGGAAGTTGAAGCATCAAAGAGAGGTGATACACTTACCCAGACTGTTATAATGAGTGTATTGAGGCTTGATTTCTCAAGGACCTCTTTTATTCTGTCATCAGAAAGGAGCCCACTCCTGCAAACCAACTTGTGCTGAACTCTGAGCCCATCAGAATCTCTGTAAAGTACACCAGAGGTCCAACCTGCTTCCAGTCAACCCCCATGAGCAGTGAACTCACGGACTCAGGAATTTTTGCAAGGAGGTTCATTTTCTCTTCTTACTTCCACCTCTACCTTGCAGAAAAGACAAAAATTCCATGGCACATGCCCCCAGTGTCAGCATTTTTATATTAAGATAGATTTGCCTCCGTTCACTTTGATATAGGAGCTCAGGATCTCAACTCTGTTATTAACAAAACTGATCTTCAGAGCTGCTTTAAACAGATAGCATATCCAAAGTGGTTGAAAAATGGTTTACCACGTTCCTTGTGTTCATCCTTCAAGTTCATGGCTGTCACCCATCACCACCTGAGAGTACTTAATGCTCAGGATAACTAAAAGGAGAATAAATCCTGTTTGCTTTGAACACAGCCCAGGGTTCAGCATATGTTCCTGTATTGGCCAAGGCTAATCAGCTCTTTCCCCCTCCTCCCCTCACTTATGCCTGTAAATCAAGAGGCCCCAGGATCAGTCAACACGAAAGAGATAATTAGCAAGTACAAGCTGCTACCTTCATAGATCACCCTGTGCCTCAGATTCAAGCTCATCCAAGAAGCTGAAACAAGCAACATTACACAAGTATGAGTTGCTTTAGCAGAACCTTTTTCATACAAAGCTTATGAGTCTGAAGGTTTAAATCTGCCCTCCCTGGCTATTGTAAGGATAGCTGGGGTACGGAGGACAGAGGGGAGTGATCTTAGCCATTTTATGATGTTTTCCTTTCCTGGACTAAAATGTGTCTTTGAAACCTCAAGGATCTGAAACAGAAGTGGTTTCTTAATGGCATAGTCTTGGCATTCAGAGATCTTTAAATCCCTTACCCCTCCTCACAGATGTGGCAGCAGAACAAAATGCTACTTTTTTCCACTGGGATATGCTCCATCCCCTCAGAAGTCCATGGCTTGTGCCTTTGCCGGTCATTTGTCCAATTGGAAGATTCATTTCCTGCTCTGGCAGGGCACATGGTGAAGAGCATTGCTGCCCCAAGAAAAGAAAGACTGTTTCTAGTCCAACAAAATAGTCTAGGAACTTCCTTCCCATGTGCTGCTAGTCTGAGACTGCTGGCTTACAGAGAAGTGTTCCACTCATGTGTTTATGACTTTGGAGCTGCTCAACTGCATGCTGGCTTTTATTTTTTCCATCACACAATGTTTCTTCCAATTTTTGAGCTTCTCATATCAACCACTTTGCTATTTTTAAGCAGAACAATTCAAAGCCAAAGTGGCTCATCAAAACAGTAAAATCTCACCAGTTCAAGCAAGAAACTTATACTCTTTCAGGGAGGGGAAAACTAGTATGAGAAGCTAGAGGCCCATTTCATCTTCTGTAAGATAAAGATATAGGTCGGGTTGTATAATCAGAGTCGTTTTCTACTAATATTAAAACCACACAAAATCATCATCATTGATTATAAGAAGCATCATGTTTTATGTACCAACAAGAAAATTTTAAAAACTGTCACTGGTTAAATTATTCCAAAACACTTAAAGATATCCTTGCAATGCATGAGTTGGTCAAATCAGACTTCAAAATCCATTCAGACCTCTCCTGCCCTCTAGTTGTATTGTTTGGCATGAAAGAAGTCCATTCTTTTGGATGATGTGACACCACTTTTCATCTCCTTGGTGGTATCTTTCTTTCTAAGCAAATAAAGCATCTGCTTGTCTCTTCACAAGAAAATTGGAAATTGCTGTCCTTCTAATGACAAATATTTACTTCACCAATGTCAAATTTACATGACACTGCTCTGTTTTTGAGAGTTTCTATTTATACAGTTACTTTTCATTTCAATGCTTAGTTGTAATGTAATCTTTTCTAAGACAATGAGCAGCATTTAAACTTGTTGGCCTAGTACCAAGAGTGGATGCAACTCCATGTAAGGGACAAGCCGACACCTTTGACCACGTTTGCCATGCTTGGGCAATGGCATTTGCATCATGACTGCAGCTTGGCAACTGAAGTTTTGGGACCCCATCCATCCCCCATGCACCCTAATCTCAAAGAAGTTAATGTGATAAAACAGGCAACTTAGATGGTTTAATTATGGAAGTGGCTACAATCTGTTGAGAATTTTCTCTCTATCTGGCAAGATACTAAACTCTTGCCAAGACCTAATATCTAGCAGACTTCACAGCAAACCAAGATGTATGTGCAGATTAGAAAGTTTAACCACGTTAACAAAATTTTCCCAGATGACACAGCTAGGTAAATTTCAGAGCAAAGATTTCCATCCAGACAGAGGCCCTTCTATCCACTCACTCTATGGTTCTCTCAGGCCATATCAATCATGGGCACATCAACTGCAGGCTGCTTTTGAGAGCCAAAGAGGCTCTCAAAGTGTTATCTAAAATAGCTCAACCATATCCAGTTTTCTGTAATGAGTTGATGAAAATAATTTATAAATTAACATCCATTAAATGCAAATGGCCGCTTCTTAAAGGGACTCCCCCATTTGATTTCTGCCTTCATAACCACTGGGAAGTGGTGTGGCTGGCTACATCCTCACCACAACAATGGAAGGGTGAAATCATCATCATTTTCTGATCGAAGCCTACCTAAGAGCTGGGATGACTTGCCTAGTGACAATGGAAGGGCATTCACAGCAAAAATATGGACTCAGATCAACTCAAACCTTGGTCTCCTGGCTCTTAGGCTTGCTCTTTAACATGGAGGGTGAATGGATATAGACCTATTTTTTTAAAGACCGTGAATGTTGTTTTACTCTCCCAATGTTAGGAGACGGGCACGTTTTTAGTGCATGGGAGCCCGCAGTCCCCAGCGCCTCAGAGGCCTGGCCACTCTGAGACCAGCCCCAAGGCAGGGGGGCACTGGAAGCCAGCAAGCCGGCCTCCAGAGAGCTGTGGTGCTGAGCGAACTCCTGTGGCTTTGTAACGCGGGCGATTCTATTTCCATGGACGGTTAAATATGGAATCTGGGAGGAGTTTTGTGTTTATGTTCAGTGGTTTGGGAAACTAAACCCAAGAGAAAGAGCTGAGAGGGTGACTAAGGGCTTTCATGGTCAAGATAAACCCCAGCAAGAAGGAATTACCACGTCCAAATAGTTGAAGCTAGCCAGCCTCAAGCCCTAGTCTTTGTGACCCCATGACAATTCTCACAGTTTGCATTTCAGGCACCAGGATAGAGAGTGTTTCAATAAAAGGCAATAAACAAATTTTTAAAACTGTTCTCTCAAGTTGTTAGTTTGTTTGATTGGCAAGTGTATATTGACTTACCTCCATGTGCAAAGACAGGGGGACCGGGGGGAGCAGACCAGTTCCCGAGGGCAGCAGGCCCGCACACTGGGAGAGGCCCAGTTGAGCAGTGCGGAAAGCCTTCTCTGACCTCCTTCTCGCTTTGTTGCAGCTGCAAGGGTGCCTCCCACTACGGCCTCACTAAAGACAGGAAGAGGCGCTCGCAGGATGGCTGCTCAGATGGCAGCGCCAGCCTCACAGCAGCAGCACTGTCCCCAGAGATTTCCACAGTCCCCACCATCTCTTTAATGACGGATGAGCCTGGCCTGGACAACCCTGCCTACGTGTCCACAGCCGAGGACGGTCAGCCAAACAGCCCCCTGGACTCTGGCCGGAGCAACCGAACAAGGGGTGAGTCAAACGGGTGGTCGTCCGGGAATGGGCTCCTCCGCCGTGGGACTGCCCTCTGAGAAACGGTCACTGTGGACAGTCCTAGAAATGTTTTGTTTAAGAGGAAATCGTTCTGGTAGTTTTGGCCACAACCCAACGTCCAGTTCTCCAAAGTGAAATGAAACCACAAGGACTTGAGATCATTAGAAACGTGTGTAATCTGACTTGGTGAAAGGAGTTGAAGTTAGACCTGGTGATTCATCACTCCCGCGGCGTCCATACCTTCCCGCCCAGGCAACTCGAGAAAAGTGCTGTTATATTCCATCTGGCCTAGGAAAAAAAGACAAGCAGATTTTAAATAAACCGTCCATATTTCATTGTAGAAAACTGAGAACATACAGATAAGCAAATTGTATCATCCCACCACCTAGAAGCAATCACCGTTTGCATTCCGTTGTGTGTCTTACCAGCTGTGTCCATAAAAGAGACCTTTTTTTCTCTTGTCTTCAGCACGGCCCTTTGAGCGATCCACCATCAGAAGCAGATCCTTTAAAAAAATAAACCGAGCCTTGAGTGTTCTTCGAAGGACAAAGAGTGGAAGTACGGTTGTCAGCCAAGCTGATCAGGGACGAGAGGATTCTGAAAACACCACTGTCCTTGATGGTAAGTTACTTCCCTATGAGGCTGGGCGTGGCCTGGGCTTCCAGAATGACTCCAGGGGTGATGACGATGGGACTAGACCTCACTTTCTATGACACCTCTCTTCCCAAGGGCATAAATGTTTTTTACCTTGATTACCCTACTTCTTATATAAGTAACCAGAGGCACAAATTACTCCCCCCCCCCCCCATTTTCTTCTGGCTACATTGGGTACTTACTGCGGCTCACGGGCTTCTCTACTTCTGCATGGCCGTAGTTGCTCCACCACACATGCGATCTTAGTTCCTGAACCAGGGGTCATCCCCTGCATTGGAAGGCAGATTCCCAATGACTGGACCATCAGGAAAGTCCCTATTGTTCTCTTTTTACATAGATTGAGGGAAAAGATTTTGGAACCCTTACTTTCAGGTCTTAGCTTAGTGTATATAAAGAATAATATGGTTAATGAAGAGCAGTTAGAACAGAGCCTGGCACATAGTAAATGCTATATGAGTATTTATTCTTATTACCACCTTGTGTGATGCGTGACTCTGAGGGTTTTCTATGTATTAATTCATGTACTCCTCAACAACTCTATGAGGGAGCTACAATTATCATCCCTGTTTTATAGATGAGGAAACAGGTACCAGGCAGTTGCTGAGTTTGCCCCTTCTGAAGTTGGAATCCGAATAATGTGGTTCTAAAATTCATGCAAAGAAAGTTTCTGGATCTTAGATTCTATATCTTTTTTTCAACATAAATGGAGCTGAGAAAATACTGTCCTGTCCTTTTATTTTCATCTTACATTAGAACTTCACAGCAGTAACAGTAATAATTAAAAGAATTCTTTTGAGCTTTCCTGGGTGCCAGGTAGTGCTCTAAGGCATTTAAAGTTCTCAATGATAAGAGATGGGGATTGTGATTCTCAGTTTACAGAAGAAACCAAGATTCAGAGAGACTGGGTAACTAGCCCGAAGTCACCCAACTGGATGACTTAAAATCATCTGGATGATTAAAATCCTGGGATTTTAATTTGTGTTCTCTGGCTCCAGAGCCCACTCATTTACTCACTGGATTAAAGTGCCTTCCGCTCCTTCAAGGCTGGGGAGTGAAAGAAAGTGAAAGTACTAGTCGCTCAGCCATGTCTGAGTCTTTGAGACCCCATGGACTGTAGCCCACCAGGCTCCTCTCTGTCCATGGAATTCTCCAGGCAAGAATACTAGAGTGGGTTGCCATGCCCTTCTCCATGGGATCTTCCCAACCCAGGGATCGAACCTGGGTCTCCTGCATTGCAGGCAGATTCTTTTCCCTCTGAGCCACCAGGGAAGCCCCCTCAAGGTTGGGGGGTAAACCCCAAACGTCTGTCTTTATCATGTTCTCAGAGAACTTTGAGCAGTTGTATAAGACCCCTTCCTACCTCTCTTACCTTGTACATACACTACATGCGCTCACTGTGCTCACTGCCGTCGTGTACACACTGTCTTTCTCTCACTTCCATGTTGCTGTCCAACCTGTCCTCTTCCTTGCCTTCAGCTGGCATCCTGATTTCTCTTTCCAGGCTCAGCATGGGTTTTGCCTCCTCCTGGGAGCCCTCTGTGACTGCCCCAGCCCTCTCCGCTTTGTTTTCTTAAAGCACCTGCATCTCTGTTACAGCAATGTCACCTTTTATTGTAACTCTACCAGTGGGGGCAGGGGTTCTTTATCTAAGTCTTTGTGTTCTCAAGGCCAAGCACAGTATCTAGTACATAATAGTTTTCACCGAATGTTTCTGCAATGAATAAAAGGATTATAACTTCCTTTCTGCCAGTCTTCCCCCTTATTAAAGCCTCCTTAATTCCATTCCACATAAAGTTTTCTCTTGCCTGAATAAGACTGATTTGCATGTTTATTGCAGAAACTTTTAAAAATAAGAGATTACTGTGTGTAGGACATTGGCCTGAGCTTTGTGCTTTTTTAAAACTGAAGTATAGTTGATTTACAATATTGTATTAGTTTCAGATGCACAACATAGTGATTCATTGTTTTTATAGATTATACTCCATTTAAAGTAATTATAAAATATTGACTATATTCACTGTGCTGTACAATATTTCCTTATAGCTTGCTTATTTTGCATAAGCAGTTTATACCTTTTTCCCTGTTGTGTTTCCCTCTCCCCACTGAGTACATACTAGTTTGATCTCTATATATGTGGATCTGTTTTTTCGTTTGTTTTCATTTTCCAGATTCCACATGGAAGTGATAACATAAAGTATTTGTATTTTTCTATCTGACTTATTTTACTTAGCATAAAATCCTCAGGTCCCTCTACACTGTTGTAAATAGCAGAAGTCCATTCTTTTTATGGCTGAGTAGTATTCCGGTATCCATAACACATCTCTTTTCATCTGTTGATGGACACTTAGGTTGCTTCCACCTCTTGGTTATCTTGGTAAATAGTGCTGCTGTGAACATTGGAGTCCATGTATCATTTCAGATTAATGTTTCTGTTTTCTTTGGATGTATACCCAGAAATGAAATTGCTGGATCATATGATAGTTCTGATTTTAGTTGTTTGAAAGCCTCCATATTGTTTTCTATAGTGGCTGCATCAGTTTACATTCTCACCAACAGTGTACCACTGTTCCCTTTTCTCTTCATCCTCACCAACATTTTTTATTTGAAGAATTTTTGATGATAGCCATTCTGACAGGTGTGAGGTGATTAACAATGTTGAGCATCTTTCCATATGCCTGTTGGCCAGCTGTATGTCTTCTTTAGGAAAATACCTATTTGTATCTTCTCCCCTTTTTAAATCAGGTTATTTGGGGGTTTTTTTTATAGAATTGCATGAGCTGTTTATATATTTAGGTTCAGTGATTTTATATCAGAAACTGCCTGCCAATGCAGGAGACAGAGGAAATACAGCTTCAATCCCTGGGTCAGGAAGATCACCTGGAGAAGGAAATGGCAGCCCACTCTGGTGTTGTTGCCTAGGGAATCCCATGGAGAGAGGTGCCTGGCAGGCCACAGTCCACAGGGTCACAAAGAGCCAGACACAACTGAAGCAGCTTAGGATGCACGGAGGACTTTTATACAAAGATTACAATCTAGTTCCTGGTTCCAAGGGGTTCATTCAAGACTAACAGAAAATACAATACCATGAAGAGGGAGATATAAATAAATGAAAATGGGAGCCACCAGAAGAGACTTCCCAGTGGGACAGTGTAGCCCATGTTCAAGGGGCAGTTATGACCTGACGGGCACTGGGATCTTGACTGTGTGTTGGGAAGTTGGGGAAGATGAGGTTAAAGCTGGATTGGAAGAGTCCTGGAGGCCATTTAGGAGTCTTGACTTGGGGCAGCGAACACACCTGAATGCTTTTGCATCGAGTTATAGCAGAATCGAAACTTTATCTCACGAAGATGAAGGCTGCAGCTACATTATGTGTGCAGAGGCTTTGCATGGGAGAGGATGAAAGTTCCTTTTCTGCTCCAGGACCTACTACTTCACAATGGGGGAGGGACTAAGATTCAGTGAGGTTGGTACAGGATTTGTGAGGTAACAGAGATTTCAAAAATGACCTTAGGGTCTCATTGCTTCAGTAACCCATGGTTAGTGTGGTGAACTTCCATGGTTTATCCATCATTTTCGTATCGGTAAAGAGGTTGGCTTTAATATTTATCAGTCATATGACCTGAATGGTTTACTTGACTCCTGTAAGCTTTAGCATCTCATCATCTAAAAAAAACAGGGATAATAATAACCTAGTTCCAATCTTAATCTATTGTGAAGACTAAACAAACAAACAAAAATATGCAAATTGCTTAGCTGACTGGTCAGCATATAATAAACACTTGGTAAATGATACTATATTCCTTGGTCCTTAAGTAAGGACACAATATTGGACAACTGTTTCTTTTCAGACTAGCACTGAGTGGGAATTAAAAATTTCATTAACTCTTGAAGGTCTCATTATTGTGGCTGTAATTAACATTTTCAACTATGACTGAGTATGTCCTTTCAGACTATCAAAACAAACGGCCTTGATTGGTTTAGATTTGGGAGCATGGTTTTTGTAACTCTGTTGGGAGTAGTGTAGAAAGGGAGGGGGAGAGGAGCAAAAATCAGCAGCTTTGATGATTATTTCCAAATCTTTCTTAGCTCAAAATGATTTTTTAAAAGAACTTCCATCCCCTTGTCACCAGACCTGTTCCAACAAATACTTGTGGATAACGCCTACTTAAGGTAATCAAAGCAGTTTAGACATTAATTGAACTTGATCACCCAAGCACTGTTAGCACCAGGAGCTGACAGATGAAGACTGCTGCCCACAGCCTTACAACAAAGCCCAATTGCTTACATTAAATCAAATCCCAACGGCAGTCAAGGGCCCACATTTACAATGTCTCTGGCTTCCTCTGGCCACTAAATTTCTTTGTTTATCATGCTCTATAGTACTTAGAAATAATTTTAATTCTTTCTGTATTGTTCCTAGAGAGTTGAGTACTTGTTAGTGAGCTTGGAGTTTATTAGGGAAAATGGACTAAGGTCATGGGTTTTGAAAACAGTCACAAAGAGTGTTTTATGTAGAACTAGGCCTACAGTTTTGATCTTTCCCAGTGATATAATTAAGGGAGAATCTTAGGGCAATGGCTGCTGTCAGCAGCTCCAGGAGACAAAAGTAACCCCACCTTCAATGTCCAGACTCCAGCCTCCAGCCTCCAGCATCTGGGGAAGAGTTGCGGCTCCTGCCACGCTGGGTGTCGTGTGGCCAGCTGGTGTTGCCTCTGTACCCGTCTATTCCCACCGAGGTGGAGAACCACGCCAGTTGGCACTGCTGGCTCAGTAGAGTGTGTGTCTATAGAGCAAGTCCCCTGTGGGCCTGTTGCCAGCTGTGAAGCAGGGAGCCTAACAGGAGCCCCAGGTTCTGACCCGCTTCTGGGGGCACCGCTGAACTGCCACCTCCAGCCGGTCATGTTCTGTTCTCCCAGCTCATGCATCCTCACTTGTGAAATAAAGGCTTGACTTTATTTTCTGGGGCTCCAAAATCACTGCAGATGGTGATTGCAGCCATGAAATTAAAAGACACTTACTCCTTGGAAGGAAAGTTATGACCAACCTAGACAGCATATTAAAAAGCAGAGACATTACTTTGTCAACAAAGGTCCGTCTAGTCAAGGCTATGGTTTTTCCAGTAGTCACGTATGGATGTGAGAGTTGGACTATAAAGAAAGCTGAGCACCGAAGAGTTGATGCTTTTGAACTGTGGTGTTGGAGAAAACTCTTGAGTCCCTTGGACTGCAAGGAGATCCAACCAGTCCATCCTAAAGGAGATCAGTCCTGGGTGTTCAGTGGAGGGACTGATGCTGAAGCTGAAACTCCAATACTTTGGCCACCTGATGCGAAGAGCTGACTCATTTGAAAAGACCCTGATGCTGGGAGGGATTGAGGGCAGGAGGAGAAGGGGACAACAGAGGATGAGATGGTTGAATCGCATCACCAACTCGATGGACATGGGTTTGGGTGAACTCCGGGAGTTGGTGATGGACAGGGAGGCCTGACGTGCTGCGGTTCATGGGTTCGCAAAGAGTCGGATACGACTGAGCAACTGAACTGGACTGATGGCTGTCAAACTGCACAGCCGGAAATGGTCTTCTGTGTGTAGGCTCAGGGGATAGGGGCAGGGGAACCTGTGAAAGACTTCCCAGGGGAAGGGTCCTCAGTGAAAAGGTAAGGTTTGGAAACCCCAGCCTAGATCTCTGAATCTCCTTCTGGCTCTGAATTCAGCAACGCAAGCTGATCAGGGATGAACCCCTTGACACCACCAGCTGGGCCTGGGGCCGCTTTTCCTGATTGTGAATTAAGCCGTTTGACTTCCCTTCACTGACAGCACAGGTGGGTAGAGAGCCTGCTTTTCATTGAGACTGAAAGGCAGGGCCTCCCAGGAGGAAACCTTCAAAATGATCAGAAAGAGCAGAAGAAGGTTTCTTCTGTTTTTTCCCCTTGATAAGTAAGTGAGCAAACTGTGGTCCATTCCATAATGACTGTTCATTCATTCCTCTTTGCTCAATAAACACCGGACAAAGTCTCCTATGTACAGAGATCTGTGCACAGACCTAAGAAACAAGGGTCTGAGAGTGCAATGGTGAGTATAAGAAATGGGCATGAGTAATAATAATAGTAACAGAAGGCTCAGTGCCCTGAGAAATACAGCTTTGTGGGAAATAAGAAATTGAGAGACAGCAGGGGAAGAGGGAGGAGGGCAAGTTTAATTGGAAGGGATCATTTCATGCAGGCCTTGAAGGAAAAATTGGGTTTAGGCCTAGGATGGAAAACATTCCAGGCAGAGAAACTTATGCTGGCTCAGAGGCAGGAAGATGGAAAACATGTACAAAGAATGATGAATAGTTTAGTTTGGCTGGAACCAAAAGCCTGGCAAGAAGAGAAGTGGTTGGAAATGGCCGTTGGTGGGTGTCTTAAATAAACATTCTTTGTCCATTTTAGTCTTTCCAAGGTTGTATCACCTGATTCCAGATGGTGAAATTACCAGCATCAAGATCAATCGAATGGATCCCAATGAAAATCTCTCCATTAGGCTTGTGGGAGGCAGTGAAACCCCGCTGGTCCATATCATTGTCCAGCACATTTATCGTGATGGGGTGATAGCCAGAGATGGCCGGCTCCTGCCAGGAGACATCATCCTAAAGGTAGAGGAGCCATGATAATGGGCTTAATAAGAGTCACTTCTGAGCAAATCCCTGGATGCATGGGTTAGGGTTATGATGGGTGAGTGGTTGGACAGATAAGTAAAACACTCACATAAATGTGGAACAGTCACTTTCCATAGTTATTAGGTTGATATGACTCTCTATAGAAAGATTAGTAATTTGCAATAGGTCCCTAACCCTTCTGTCTGTCTTGTTCTTCTGATCTCTTTCTCTCTGTATAAATACTCTCTATCATTTTGTCTCTGCTCTCCTCCTTTCTCTCCTTCTGTCTCCCCCTCCCCTTACTTTCTCCACCTCTTCAGTCTTTTCTCTCCCTTCTTCGCCTCCCTGCTAATTCTTCCTCTCCTACCCCTTTCTCCTACTCTAAGTAACAATAACATAAAACAATATGAAACTGCAGCATATATCTTCTTAGGTTGTTTTTAGAGCAGATTACTGGAACATTTTCTATTTTATCTAATCACTCACATTCACACACTCCCCTAAAGTAAATTTCCTATAGCTTAATGACCCTTCACCAAAGAAAAAAAAAAAATCCCTAAACTATTCTGCCAACCCACAGACATTCCAGGGGAGACAGGTGGTGGAACAGAACGCCTTGAGCATTACTGTCCTCTGAGGCTTGGCTGAGGGTAAGGATGCTCGGGAAGAATTTTCAGACGAAGAGAAAGGACAAAGGAAGAGTTGTTTATCAGACAGAAGTCTAACATGTGCCAAAAGCGATAAGGAAAAATCCCTCCCTTGGTCATATATTTCCTGTCTGACCCTCAGATGACAGTTTCATCCTATCCCTTCTGGGTTGTTGACAGGCCAGCTCCTAACACATTATGTGCTATTTCTCTGGCAAAGGAATTCTTATTTTTTGGAATAAGAGGAGAAAGAATTTGAAGCAGTTATTGTAGAAACACTGATATTCCCACTGGCCTTCGAGATGGAGTACGAGGCAGGGCCCATCAACCTCGGGGGATGGTTGGCCATGCAATTAGCAACATTCTGCATGGCTTTCCTCCAGTTCTGTGGAAGCTATGCTGCCTGGGAGGGTTGCATAAGGAAAACATTTTGATTCTTGTGGCCTTCAGCTGGCACTTGCAAGCAAAAAAGCTGCCAGGACTGTTTAGCAGGCGACCCTGACTTTCTCTTGGCCTGGGTGTGATGGGGAAAACTGGACATGGGATAAGATGACGGAGCAGAGCAAGGTCTTTGAGCTTACCTGTGCTTGAACAACGGTTCTGAGCCTTGTCCATGCACGAAGGAGCCTCTGTGCATCCCTGGAGATGCAGCAGAAGACAGGCAATTGTACGCGGCAGGCAGGCCCGGGAAAATCTCGCTCCACGACTCTTCTAACAGTTGGCTGCAAGTGCAAGAAATCTTCCCAAACCATAGAAATTCAAGAAGGTTGTTTCTCTTCTGTGGGGCCTCCTTCCTTAAGAACAGAGTGCAGTGCTGCTGTGAAATTATTTTCTTCCCAAGCAGTGACCACCACTGTGGGCCGAAGCCTTGAGGCTGGGTCTGCCTAGAGTAATTAAAACCAGAAAGACCCACACAGCATCAGTCCCACAGATTACTGGTGAGGCACAAATGAGTGGGCCGAGCTGGAGGACATTTAAGCAGTTTAATAAAGAGACCCAGCCTTTCAGTAAAAGAGCCTAGTAGCTTCCATTTACATCAGTTCATTTGAAATAGTACAGAGATTTTTTTTCCCTCTTTTGTTGAGAACATGGGCAAAAGACCTTGTAGGAGACCACCTAGAGACTTCACAGATGTACACAGTCACACACATTCACTCACTTGCCAAAACACAAATACATGGATGTACACACACACACACACACACACACACAACCAGTGAAGCCTAGAAATTCCAGTACAGGTGACCTAGGGAGAAAAATTCATTTGGAGGAGATGTTTGGAAAGAAAATGTCAACTAGTTTGATTTAAATAGCACTTTAAAATAATCATTAATCAAAAATTTTCTTTTCTTCTTTGGCCTTTTCCCACTTTTTCTTCCTTTTCCTTCCTCCCTCAGCCAAAAAATAAGTTTAGCAAGCAACAGAACGGAGAGTTAGGGCTGTATAAATAAATCTGAGGGCCTATGTAAGGACATGGCTGAGAAAAGATTCTGTCTGCGGAGACAGACAGTTGAAAAGGTGTGCAGATAACGGGAGGAAAGCTGGGTTACAAGTCCTGTTGGAAGATGGGGGTATTTGGGCATTTGGACAGAGAAGGTGACGGAGCCGAGTGGTCCTTTAGGAAGGGCCCTGGCGGGTCTGTAGGCAGGGCCTTTCAGGCAGGATGTGGCAGGTGAAGCTGATGGCTCGGTGGTGCTCCCCTTCCTCCAGGTCAACGGGATGGACATCAGCAACGTCCGGCACAACTACGCCCTGCGCCTCCTGCGGCAGCCTTGCCACGTGCTGCGGTTGACGGTGCTCCGGGAGCGGAAGTTCCGGAGCAGGACCGACGAACAGCCCCTGGATGCTTATGGGCCCCGGGATGACAGTTTCCACGTGATCCTCAACAAAAGCAGCCCGGAGGAGCAGCTTGGAATAAAACTGGTGCGCAAGGTGGATGAACCTGGGGTGTTTATTTTCAACGTGCTGGACGGTGGCGTGGCAGACAGACACGGCCAGCTGGAGGAGAATGACCGTGTGTTAGCCATCAATGGGCATGACCTTCGGTACGGCAGCCCAGAGAGCGCAGCTCATCTGATTCAGGTAGGTCACAGACGATGACAAGATCCTGGTCAGAAACTGCCAGCATGAGCAAGAACGCTCATCACCGTGATCCGCCTACCCTGTTTCTACCCCGGGTAACACACAGTGCCTCCTTTTCAAAGAGTCAGGAGTGATGGGCCAGGTAAGAACATTGCTCCAGCAAATGATGTGTCTCAGGGTCATGGTCATTCTGTTAGTGTGGCCAGCCATCCAGTCTGACTGCAGGTAGACACGTTGGGCTCTGTTGTAGCCTCACCAGGTTAAGATCACTCGGGGTCAGCAGGGTTGCATCATCCTTGTACCCAGTATGGTAGGCACAGACCTTGGGGTCACTCAAATATACTCTGAGGACATCCGCTGTGCGACCCCCATAGAAGCTGTGCCATGGGCCCTTCAGTGATCCTGTGGACCAGAGACCACGGTAGGATTGGCTAAGGTCGAGCCCCGTCTCCATGGCTAAGTCCAGCCCCCTTCAAAAGCCCGTGGGACTCAAATATGAGCCTAAGGAAGCCCTCCGTAAGAGAGGCATACAAATTATTATTACTCAGGCAAATAGAGCTCATGACAGACTGACACTGTTTCAAACTAATTCACTCTCCTGACAGGCATGATGCCACCAAGCCCCAGCATGCATCTTGTTAACTTCAGCTGGATGACCTTGAGTGTTTGTTGATGGTTTTCTTTTTAAATTGAAGTATAGTAGGTTTACAATGTTGTGTTAGTTTCAGGCATACAGCAAAATGATTCAGTTTTACGTGTATATATATACATGTTCAGTCACTCAACCATGTCCAACTCTGCAACCCCATGGACTGCATGAGTACCTGTATATATATACACACATATATATATGTATAAAATGTATTCTTTTTCAGATTCTTTTCCCTTACAGGTTATTGCAAAATATTGAGTATAGTTTCCTGTGCTATACAGTAGGTCCTTGTGATTATGCATTCTACATATAATGGTGTATATATGTTAATCCCAAACTCTTAATTTATCCCTCCCCTCCCCTTGGGTAACAATAAGTCAGAGGATTTATTTCTGTTTTTTAAATAAGTTCATTAATATAATTTTTTAGATTCTACATATTAGCAGAATCATATGATATTTGTATTTTTCTGTCTGACCTCACTTAGTATAATAATCTCTAGGTCCATCCATATCACTGCAAATGGCATTTTTTCATTCTTGATTTTATGAAAAAGTAATATTTTTCATTGAGCTGAGTAATATTTAATTATACATATACCATCTTTTCTTTATCCATTGTTCTGTCAAATATTAGATTGTGTTCATGCCTTGATTGTTATAAATAGTGGTGCTATGAACATGGGGTGCATGTATCTTTTTAAATTATAATTTTCTCCAGCTTAGGTGTGGGATTGCAGGATCATATGATAACTCTGTTTAGTTTAAGAAACTTCCATACTGTTCTCCATAGTGGCTGTTACCAATTTACATTTCCACCAACAGTGTAAGAGGGTTCCCCTTTCTCCACACCCTCTCCAGCATTTATTTGTAGACTTTTTGATGATGGCCATTCTGACTGGTGTGAGGTGATACCTCAGTTGTAGTTTTAGTTTGTCTTTCTCTAATAATTAGTGATGTTGAACATTTTTTTCGTGTGTCTGTTGGCTATCTGTATATCTTCTTTGGAGAAACATCCACTCAGATCTTCTGCTGATTTTTTGATTGGATTATTTGTTTTTCACCATGAGTTTTTCTAATATTCACTGACCTTCCAGCTTTATTCCTAGAGACAGGCTTTGTTCTGGACTCTTATATTCTAACCCTTCAATTTACTTCATTTAGCCAAAATGTATTACATTTTTGCTTCTTGCCTAGTTCTGGATCAGGTTCAGATAACAGGGAGATGATAACCTCTTAGGTTGCTCTCCCAAAGGAGCCCACAGTCTAGTGGAGGAGGTGGGTTTTTTCTAAATGACTGCCTTGTGGTGTGATAGTGTATCATGGAGAGATTAAGCGTGGTACTGGTTCAGACAAAGGAGAGATTTTTTACTTAGTGGGGTCTAGAAATTCTTCACAGAGAAGGAAAATCTTGAACTGGGGTTTTGAGGTTCTCTAGGTGGTTGAGGCTGAAGAAGGAAATGGCAACCCACTCCCGTGTTCTTGCCTGGAGAATCCCAGGGACGGGGGAGCCTGGTGGGCTGCTGTCTATGGGGTCGCACAGAGTCGGACACGACTGAAGCGACTTAGCAGTAGCAGGTGGTTGAGGCAGGGAGGGTCATTCAAAGGAGATACAACACAGAAGAGTGTTTCCCCAAAAGCCCGTTAGGGAAATGGTTAACACCTGGAGTGTGGTATACAGTTTTAAAAGCAACAATAGGTAAAGCAGAAGTGGTAGGTAAGGACCAGATCATGTAGAGTTTTATAAATAATGCTAGGAAGTTCAGACTTTGCCCCTAAGGCCATGAGGTATCACTGGAAGGGTTTAAGAAAGAAAGTGACATGATTTTATAGAAAGATCTTTCTAGAGGCAGTGGAAAGCTGATAGGAGAGGGACAGGAATGGAGGCCTTAAGATGTGTTTGCTATACGTTATGTCAGCTTCCCCTTGGTGGCTTAGAATGAAGAAGTATTCATTCCTTAAGTATAGATAGAGAGTCAGCAGCAGTGGCTGAGTGGACCTTGTATCAGCGTTCCACAGAGGATGGCAGTCCGAAGACAGAGCCTTCCCTCAAGGACTTGATCATCTCAGTACAAACACATCTCCCTCCCCTTGACTTCCGGTCATGGACTTCTTCCAGGTGTTGGCAACTTTTCACTATCGTGTGCATAGAATCTTATCTCTATGGGTTTTTTTTTTTTGAGGAGAACCAAGTAGTGGATGAAATTATTGTCATTTTAGATGTGAAAAGCCTGCAGTAAAGGGTGCCAGGGGACTTCCCCCGTTTCTTCCATCCATCAGGACAGGACGGATGCATGGTGCTTTGGCCTCTGATCTGGGGATTTTGATGGTGTCTCAGTTCCAAGGTCATTCTCAATCTGGTGGATGCCCATCTGCCCTAAGTGGCCTGAGGTCATGCCCTGTGGAGCGGATGAAGAACAAACTAGAGTTACAAGAGGCATTTCCTTCTGGAGTTTATGTCACCCATTCCCAAGTTCACATGCCCAGTCCCAACTTTTCTGAACACCACACTTATGTGGCCAATTGCCTACTTGGTATCTCCATGTGAATGTCTGAAAGGCATCTCAAATTTAATACTCAAAAGTGAAACTTGGCCTCTCCACTCTCCACCCCTTGCCAAACCTGCTCTTCCCCTCAGACTTTCCTTAACTCTAGAAATGACAACATCATTTACTCAGTTACTAAGAACAACAAGTATCTTGACTCTCTTCCACATCCCTTGCCTGTAGTCTATCTCACCACCTCCACAGCTCCCATCAGCTAGGCCGCCATTGCCTTTAGTCTGGGCTGCTGCAAGAACCTCTTAACTGGTCTCCTTGCTTCCATCTCCACCCTCATACAGCATTTAGAATGACCACTTTACAGAGTTAATCCCACCATATCACTTTCCTGCCCACAGCCATCCAGTGCTTCCCAAGACACTTATTTTCAAATATCAAATCCTTACAGTGGCCGGCAGAGCCATGCAGTCTGGTCTTTAGTTGTCTCTCCAACCTCATATCTTAAGCAAATGGGAGGATTTCTGGTATTCTCCCCTTTGCTTAACCATGCTCTTCTTAACATTGCCTTCTTGCTATTGCTACTCCTCAAGCATTTTAGGAACTTCCTCATCCCAAGGCTGATGATCTTGCTGTCCCTCTGAAAGACTCTTCCAGATATCTGCATACTCCTGCACTTCACTCAATGTTATCTCAGAGACACCTTCGCTGACCATCCTGCTTAAAGTAGCATCCCCCACCCTCAATTCTATATCCTCTAATCTTATGTTCTACTAACAAATTATTTGATTAATACCTGCCAATCTAGCATAATATAGTACAGTATTCTACCTCAAGCAATTAGAGAAATACCTGGCGGTAAGAGACACTCAATAAATATTTGAAAGAATAAATTTAGCGGGTTATGTTGGTGTTCAGTGGCTAAGTCATGTCCAACCCTTTGCAATCCCATGAGCTGCAGCACACCAGGCTTCCCTGTCCTTCACTATCTCCTGGAGTTTGCTATATAATTCACACATTAATTTCATCTCATAGGGGTATTTTTTGTCAAACCATTTAGTGAAGAAAAAGCACCAAATCCACTTTTACATTATTTTTCCCCAAGGTAGAAGTCTTTTTGTCCCCTTGAATTTGTTCAGTTATTATTAGTTGAGCACCTTCTAAACGTCAAGAGGTGTGTAGGACAACGGTGAACAAGACTGACACAGTCCTGGCCTCGTAGAACTTAGAATACATTCCCATCTATCCCCAAATGCAGTCAAGTCAGCACTGAGCAGGCAGTCTAGCCTGTATGCGCCAATGGGTGAGAACAGGAAATAGACAATGTTTATGAAAATATTAATCCATGGAAAATGAAGAGCCCTGCTTTTTTTCTTTATGAAGAAACTGCACTCTCAGCATGCCTTTTCTCTTTAAAAAGCAGACCCTTGGGTGATCATCAGTTTTTTCCCTGTTACGCCTGTCAACTCCCTCTGCAGGTCAGTCTGTGCAGCTCACAGTCTAGAGATCACCTGCCAACTATCCTTCGCAATAGACAAAAGAAAAACTCCCTTACTCATGTCACTTGGAAAAATCTTGATTACACATGGCATTCAACTTTTGTAGATTAGTAACAGAAAAGGAAAAATTTTTTTCCCTGAGAACGTTAACTTACGAAATAAAATCTTGCTTAACAGTGGGATTTCCTAAAAGATTCTTCTGCTTACCAAACAAAGCCAATGTGCTTTGTAGGCAGGGGAAGAAGAAGGGGGAAAAAAAAAATTGGGCCAAATGAGTTGGAAAAGAAATGGGAAAAGTAGAATGCTGAGCAAACTCAGTTAAGCGACCTCAAGTGTGGATTTTATTTATGAG